TATATATATATATATATATATATATATATATATATATATATATATATATATATATATATATATATATATATATATATATATATATATATATATATATATATATATATATGTATATATATACATACTTGTAAACTTAAATTAAACTTTTGTGTGTCTCAGTGTACTATATATAGTTGTTTATTGCGCATGTTATGATACTACATCATATTTAAATATATAACATTGAATACTGCCAAATATTTGTATGCATGCATGTTCGTGCATTCATAATTATTTATTATGAACTATATACAGAACTTGCCTTATTGTAACTATACACGTGTTTTATTGTAAAATATAGACTTGCTTTATAGTAAACTATTTACTTGCTGTATTGTAATTATATACTTGTTTTATTGTATACTATATTTACGTAATAATGATATCCAAATCGACACCACTCACAGCGACTATACAACACGCTTGAGGCTGCGGATTCCTACCGACTCTCAAGTTTTCGCGCAAAGTTCAATGCGGCGTGTCCTCAGGGTGGCTCACCTCTGAGTAAGAGTCAATAGGGTGCTCGCCTGTACTATCAGCCTCTAAATAAACATACGTTCTATTCTGTCGACTGTGAGGGCTCCATGCAACACGCTAGTGAGGCTGCGGTTTCTCACCGACTTCAAAGTGCCTACGCAAAGTTCAATGCGGCGTGTCCTCAGGGTTGCTCGCCACTGAGTTAGTCAACAGGGTGCTCCCCTGTACTCTAAGCATATAGATATACTTGCCATAAACAACCAGCACTCGTGTAACTAGACCACACAATCCACTCCGAAGTGAAATTCTCTGAACCTTCTATACTGGGATCACCACTCATGGGCGGCTTTCTCTGAGCCTTCCGCACTAAGTATCTCCGCACCAAGCGGGAGGTCCGCTGCACACATGAACGAACGCCAAAAATTCTTACCCGCAGCATGGATGCACTACTGAGCCCACTTATCAACTCCACTAACGCAGACATCTTCCAATCTACCGCGGACCGTCTCCAGAAAGCTTATCGAGCAAAGCATGATGTAAACCTCTTCTCACTTAACCCGCGAATCCCGGTAAACGCTAAAGGGACGACTTCATATACCAACGGTCTCCCCGACACAATCATCCGACACGATGGATGGCAATACGCAGCCTCAGCTTTCCACGATGGACTCTTCGACGACAGGCAATGATATAGAAATGGCGGACATCGTCAAAGAGGAGAGCCCAGTAGTATTGACCGATGATGAACAATGTTAGGACCAATGAGGATGACGCTCTTCAACCCATAAGGACTGGACATGGACAACGCATCACATACAGATAAGTTTTTGAACGGTATATCGATTTTAAGTCAGGTTGATGTTATGTATTTGGTTGAAACCTGGCATAACACCACATTTCTTAATCATATACACTCGAACACACGCTATCATATACTACATCACACTACACGGCATAATATCTTACACCCTTCACACTGTGGTATTGGTATCTTTTCCAAACTCCACCCATCGAATTTTCAACTTGTACACTCTTCACCGTACGCGGTGTTATTTGTGTGCTTTGGCGTTCATATGGCCGTTTTCTACTTTCCACTCAAAAAAAACCTCAAAAGATTGCATAGGCATTCTTTTATATTCATTATCGTTGTTCAGTCATAGTACACACGTACGTGTACGATGCGGAGCAAATAGTATCGAAGACAAGACAGAATGTATATGATGCATGCTGACTGGTTGTTCATACTACCGACTTAGGCCTTGTACACAACCACACAGATTGCGTGTACTCATCTCTATTCCGAAAGCCCGGCTTCAGATGTACAAGTTTATTCAAACATGAAAAATTATGGTTTACTTTTTATCGACGTATCACGTTCTAATTGTTGCTTCCTCAGTTCAGAACTTAGAGGAAGTTTGACATAAAATAATTTGGTAACTCAATATTATAGTTTATTCCGTAATATTTTGTATATGGGTTTTATATCCCTTGTCGTCATTGCTGGACTACAGATTGCAATGGTCGTTGCACAGGATACTATAACGCTCACACTTCGGTTCGCAAAGCACCAATCAAATACCAACCTCCTCTTCTTTCGAGCCTGCGCGGCGGTTTGCCAACAAACTGCACAATACACCTTAGAAATTTTCAAACTTATTAGTTTTCACAAATTACCGAACAGTTCGGTACTTACAACACCACCATTCTTTTAAATCGGAGGTAAATATGGTTGACATTACATAGTTGTTCACTCTTGTTGGACTTTTGGAGTCGAGAGTTGAAATGCGGTGAACACTGATGACTGAACACTTGAACAATGAACAATTGAACACTGAAGTCTCAAGTCTCAAGTCTCAAGTCTCAAGTCAGAACTCTGACGTCTCAAGTCTGACCTTCATGTTGTGTGTGAAGTTATCAACTTGACACTTGTGTGCCGGCCTATGTATGGCAGTTTTGTTGGCTGGCAGACTAGGGCAGGTAGGCTGGGGCAGGTTGTCACTGTGTGTGTGTGTCAGTGTCGCAGATTGCTGTTTGGCTACAGTTTAGTGTATACATAGTGTTTGTACTTTGTAGACTGCAGTTTGTAGTATTGCACTTTCGCCACTTTGGTCATTGCAAGAGAGTTTGCACTTTGCACTGTTTGCAGTGTTGCATGACTTCGCAGTTCGCACTCTGAGTTTGTAAATATTCTGCACTCTGACAACTCCGAGTCTGCTCTCTGCACTCTGCAGTCTGCAGTTGAATCTTGAAAGTTGAAAATTCTGCAACTGCAGTGACTGCACACTTGACACTGCACACTGCACACTGCACACTGCACAACTGCACACTGCACACTGCACACTGTGAACAGGCCACACAACTTTTCACAACAGACAACTGACAACACTGGACTCACAGAGTCAGTGAGTCACAGTGCAGGTTGCAGACTGCAGAGAGTCAGTGAGTCACATTGCAGGGCTGCAGGCTGCAGAGAGTCAGTGAGTGCACACGTTATTATTTTTTAACAAAATATAAACAACAAACAACTTCAACACTCAACAGCTATGTAAATATGTCATATTTACAAAGTCATACATAGTACAAATTTACATCTTTACCGTAGTTACGTATTTGCAGTATTATTATATATACTCTATTTTATAATTATTACTCTGGCCTTTTCTTTTTGTTCAAACAATCGTTGTACTTTTTTATAAAAAAACATATGTATGGAATGTCTTTATACGGCACTGATAACAATAAAACTATTAACCACCTCAGTCCCAGTTTCCTACCAGTCCCATACTTTTACTTTTTCGAGTTTGCTTTGCTTTTTTATAAGATGCATATAGCGTGACTTTAGCCCATTTATTGCACTAGTTGAATTAGTTCTTTGTCGGCCTCAGAGGAGAGGTCGACGTATGTTAGACACGAATAGTGCCAACTGTAAAACCATGGGCGAATCCGAAGCAATAGCTAAGACAGAGGACGCCTATATACATGTGGCTAACTGCTACCATACGTCAAGCCCTTAAGACCGACAAGGACCTAACATAAGTGCAACAAATGGGTTGTATCCGCGCTACAATATCTAAAATTTTGAGTTGAGCGCTTTCAGCCGGCAGACAACAAACAAATCGGCAGAAAACAAACACATCTCACAAGTGCTTAAAACCACGCTAATTACATTAATACACCTATATTCAAGCAAATTAAACTCGAAAAAGTTACAAGTATGAGACTGGTAGGAAACTGGGCCTGAGGCGGTTAATAATTTTATTGTCACCTGTGCCGTATAACGACATTCGTACTACAAAAGTCTAAAACTCTGGACTATGATTGAACTTTGATTGACGATTGTTGTTTTTGAAAATCAAAATTCATAGACCTGCTGTTGTTACATAATTGTTTTCTTTTTGTTTTCTTTTATAAAACAATGACAATGTGATACAAAAACAATAAACAATAATAGATGACGTCATAATGAGTTCCGTAAAGAAACATCGGATATAATCATGAAGTGAAACGTGTTTAAAACTTTACCGGGGCACTGATATGTAATTATGCACACGCTTGCAAACGCGGTCGCTTAGAACGAATTTGCAAACGCGCGCGCTTAGAACGAATTTGGCATCGACTCCCAGAGTTTAAAAAACCCTAAAAACCCTAAACCCTAAACCCTAAACCAATCACGATAAAAGTGGCTTTTATAATTACAGTATCATGATATGATGGAGTGTATAGAAGCTTTTGCAAAGACATGTACGTCATACATAGCATAACTTGGATAGTCTGAATGTTTATACTGATATCAGAAACATCAAGTGAATAAATATTTGAAGAGAAACTGTGCTCCCTGTACTCTGATTGCAAAATTTATCATCGAACTGAGCTTTCTCGATTATTATGATGTTCCTCGGGTAAGTGAAAGTTGCAGCCGATCCAAACATTGAAATTGCTGATACTTCCTTCAAATAAACTGATCCTGTATATTGTCACTCTAACGGTACACATTTTCGTCCGTATCATATTTAAGTCAGGTAGTCCTGTCGGTTCTTCTACATCAAATAATATATACCAAGAACAACCAACAATTAAAAGTATGACCACCAATTCGAATTTCAAACTGGGTTTTATATCCCTTGTCGCCATCGCTGGACTACAGACTGCAATGGTCGTTGCACAGGATACTGTATCGCTCACTCCGTGGCAAAATCATGCAGGTAGCACTGCAGAACTTGGTTGAGATTTATGGCAGACTAACGCCTATGATACAAAGCGCCCAGATGACTGCGAGGTGATAAAAGGCGAGCATGGACACGAGTGTCTGTACGATGCCGCCGATGTGCCATCTGCGGGAAGCTCCGATTGGAATGATCACCCAGATGTCAACATCATCGATATGGAGCGACGGTCGCTGGTTTGCGACGCACCAGAAATCTGTTACGAATATTTGGACTTTACATACTTCCAAGCATTCCTCGATGTGCCTGAAAGTTGTGAGGTTACTAGATTAACCATCGACTTTGACGGCATGGATGATAGATCACGCGTCTCTGTAAATGATGTGGTGGTTGAAGATAGTTATGTTTATCTACTTGAGACTGGAACTTCCGATTTGAAGAATCTTGTAATATCTGGACAGTCCAATCGAATAGTGATCACACAAGTGGATGATTGCTGTAAGTATAACAATCTCAGAAAAGCCATTGTCAACTTTCAGTCCAGCTGTGACACTCTGACGTGCGCGTCTGTACCTGATATTTGCACATTCCCGGATTGGGTAGTCGCCCCCAATTTCGATGACATTGTCTGTTCTGGCGACGAGTGTAATGCACCAACGTGTTGTTTGCCGGCACCGACATGCAAGGAAGTTGCCGACTCAATTACTTGCGAGGAAGGATTTGAGAATGGCTTAACCAACGCCGCCTGCGATCCGGATGAGAGCTAGGGCAAAAACTGCAAAGATATTTGCTGTGTACCTCAGCCATCCGCGTCTCCTTCTGCGTCGCCATCCACGGTACCATCCTCATCGCCATCCACATCACAGATTCCAACACCTTCCTCGACCCCATCTACGTCGATCAAGCCTTCAGTTTCTGCATCACCCTCTACGGAGCCATCACCGCCCGTTTCTAGTCAACCGAGTTCCTCAGCTACCCCTTCAACATCCATGGAACCATCGCCCTCTCCTACGCCATCAATATCGATGGAACCCTCGTCCTCTGCCTCACCTTCCGCCTCAATGGAAGCCTCGCCTTCTTTATCTCCCTCCACATCCAGTGCTCCTATACTCCATCTCCATCGATGGTAGCCTCTGCGACCCCATCGAATTCCATGCTGCCTACAACATCAGCATCCCCTTCAATGTCAACGGAGCCGTCCGCATCTGCAAAACCAAGCCCATCGAGTGAGCTTTCCGCATTTCCAAAACCAAGCCAATCGAGTGAGCCGTCCGCATCTGCAAAACCAAGCCAATCGAGTGAGCCTTCCGCATCTGCAAAACCAAGCCAATCGAGTGAGCCTTCCGCATCTGCAAAACCAAGCCAATCGTGCGATCCTTCCCCAACGCCTTCCTCAGATCCCCCCAAACCCTCACACCAAGTGGACTGTACTGTGGTGACATCGCATTTAGCAAGTGTGACGGTGACTATAAGGAAGATCTTAAATGCTGCGCGCACAGCAATAGCTGCTCTGGCTGGGGCAACTGCATATGCGCATCGACTCACTGCTGTGCTGGAGACATTATTAACCCAGAGGATGACGACGACGATGACGATGACGAAACTTCGTCTGACCCAGAGAACTATATGCACTGTGGAGACGTCAAATCAGACAAGTGCGGGGGAGATTACGATACTGACAAGAAGTGTTTCAAAAACTCCGGCAAGTGTGCTGGCTGGGCGACTGAGAAATGCTCAAGCAGTCATTGCTGTGCTGGGGACGTGGATGGTGACAACGATAAGGACCAAGATTGTACAGACAACAAACGCCGATGTTCACGCCGTCGCCAGGCCCGTCTCGCTAGATCGATGTGATCGGTGTATGCTCAAGAACTTTCACTAGAATGATAAGCTATTAAAAATATGATTGATTTGTCACCCTGCGAGTCCTTCAGGTGATGCCAGTTTATATAGAGGTTTACAATATGGGTAGAGATTGAACTGACCTTTTAAAAAGGACATTTACTTTAGATAAAATAATGAGAAAATCAATCGTAAAGCCAAACAGCGCTGTTATTTGATACATGAAAATGCAAGATATCTCAGACCACAGTATGCAATCATCATATCCGAATACCACACTCTCCTTTGATTGCTGGCCCATTCCAAACAATCTAAATAAATACCCGAGCAGGATATTAGCAACTCATCTGCTAAGTTCTTAGGCATAGTTGTACGGGACGATGGCAAGTTGGCAACGGGCGCGATAAAATACACACTTCTGCATGGGCGCTGCTCTGTCTGACTTCGCTACGTTTGAGTTGCGCTAGGTAGGGATCATGAAGATCTGAGTAAACGAATCCTACACGACGTGAGGATATGCATTTGCATACGTCACTGTAGTGCGCAACTTAGATATACATCAATGCTATTTAAAATTAGGATCGCAGCTTCACTTTCCCTGTAGTATCCCTCGTGCGTGTGACGAATGATATGTTGCACAAGTCTTTATCATACAATGGTGGATTCGCTATTTACTCTGCGCACCACTGATGCGTCTACTTGAGGATCGTTTTCCGATGGCCCTCCATCCGTGCCACTGAGTACATCCGTGTGCGAGTGTCGCGTTGTGCGGTTGTCGGCCGACGCATGTGACCTGAATAAACCGCAATTGAATGTTGAGTCAAAGTCAATCAGAAGTGATAGGATTCTTGACTACATTCGTCTGGTGCAGTGCTTCAATTCCAGTGTATGAAACTTTGCACGGGTGCAGTTGCCGCGTTTCTCATGTGCAGTATACAGTGACTTGGAGACTTCAATCGCTCCAAGTGGATGCAAATGCGGCGATATGCCAAAACTTATTGCTATATTCTCGTATGAGGCCAATGCCTATCATCATTTACTCTCCGGTTGGAACACAGCCTGCCAGTGACTACTTCGGTACAGCATTTAAATGAAGTGGAAGCATCCAAAAAGTGGAGTACCTATTGGCCGTACCGATACTGTGAAGTTTGCTGCGACTCATGAGCATGATGAAATAACACACGTGCGAGTCTAGTGACCAATTTGAACAACATAGCAACGCTCATGAGACTGACCACCAAATAAAACAGTGCATAAAATAATACACGTGCGAGTCTAGTGACCAAATGTGAACAACACAGAAACAATCATGAGACTGACCACCAAATAAAACAGTGCATAAAATAACACACGTGCGAGTCTAATGACTAAATGTGAACAACATAGAAACAATCATGAGACTGACCACCAAAGAAAACAGTGATTTACAGCATGAGCAGTGCTACAGATACGTTGCTTGTTAATGCTGGAGCACAAAAGGGTTTGCTGCACACGCAACTTTCACCTCCTCTTGGAGAGGACTTTCTCGCGCGTCAACTACTAGTATGTATTAGAGGTTGTCGTAAGAAAGCATGCCATTTTGTCATTTTGTTTACAATGCTTATCAAGCCACAAGTATAGGCTTATAACTTTGCTTTAGATATAGTGCACTGGTTATTTAACTATGAGTAAGAAGTTACCTTAAATTTGAAAACTTAGCAGCCTCCCAGTCATCTGGATCGAGAACTTGGAAGACATCGCGCATGAACATATCCCTGAGTAGACACAAGACAGAAATGACTTGAGATTGAGGATGCAAGCGCTATATCCGGGTTGATTATAACATATTCGAACATCAGTTATCAAGCCCATGGTATATCGGAGGGCGTGTGCGGGGTGGGGCACAACCACACTTTGCAGGCACATGTGTACTAGTACATCTAACGAGGATGCTCGGCTGAGGTATCTAGATTTACAGAAAGCATGAGAACCGCCAAAAGTAGCGGATGCAAAGTGGTACCATACGTTGGCGCATGGGATAACGGAGACACAATTGAGATATCATTACACTTGAATAGGCAAATTACCAGTGACAAAAATGTATAGAACAAGACAATCTTGGTTGGCACTACACCATTCAGTGCCTAGGAGAGGCGGCGGGCTGACAATTGCGGGTCTTTACAAAGACGAGACTGAAGCTCAGGCACAAAATCATAATCGGAAAGCAATATACATCACATTGTAGACTCTTAGACTGTTGCCCAAAAATTAAGGACAGCCATAGGCAACAACGTCGCCAGCCAGTATATGAACACGAACAAGTCACCTTAATAAAAACGTCATCGTATGAACAAGTCGCACTAAAAAAAGCATCCTAGGTCCGTCGCCTGACAGTGTACCCAGACGTAGAACATAAATCTTTCAAAACATGGCATACGATCCAGTGCATATCAATTGGCACCCCCCTAACAACAAGGCATAAATACACTTCGCCAGTTTCCAGGCACACTTGCTCCCGTGCCTAGGCCTACGGTGCGACGATCTCGCAAGGTACACATTATATCACGTCCGTGCACGAAGCCACACTTGCACTACCAAATCATACCTGAGCCAATCATCGCCTGTCATGAAGGATTTGAGTGAGATGCTGAAGTAGCTTTCGCCGTTCTCCTCCATCTCCGCTTCCAGCTTCTTGACTTCTTCACTCGTGCGTCTGTGACAGTGATAGGTGTATGTATATGTATCCATACCGGATAGTACACATTCATGAATACACAGACATCGAATAACCTAAAGACTATTCATAGCGATGAGAAAGTACGCTGGTAGTGTACTATGCTTGCAAGATATATTGCAAGGAACTTCAGTGAGTTAACAGACTAGGGCAACCCTAAAAAGGTAAGGTAGGAGACCGTCAAGAGGTGGTACGTCGTGAACTTCAAATACAAACAATTATAATAGTTACTTGCATGCAGATCTTTGTGCTCTTCTTCCGCTTATTTATATGTACGTTATACGAGTATTTGAACAGCACTCACTTTCCGAGCGTGTTCAAGTGCACACATAGTTTGCATCCTTTCAAATCGGTAGTTCCTCGATATGTGTACATGCAGGTTCTATCTGTACGTATATCTTGCGGACATTATATATATATATATATATATATATATATATATATATATATATATATATATATATATATATATATATATATATATATATATATATATATATATATATATATATATATATATATATATATATATATATATATATATATATATATATATATATATATATATATATATATATATATATATATATATATATATATATATATATATATATA